ACAATTTTTTTTTCCCTGTTATAGATTGAATAGCAGTCAGTGTCCTTAAAGCGGGTGTGCTAAGCTCACAGTGGATACGGTGCCCAGTGCCACCACTCACTCATATCTGGTGTCACAATAGCTTGCATTTAAAAACAAAAAACTTTTTTCACTGTTATAGATTGAATAGCAGTCAGTGTCCTTAAAGCGGGTGTGTTAAGCTCACAGTGGATAAGGTGCCCAGTGCCACCACTCACTCATATCTGGTGTCACAATAGCTTGCATATAAAAACAAAAAACTTTTTTCACTGTTATAGATTGAATAATGCGCCGCGTCCTTAAAGCGGTGTCAGGCTCACAGTGGATAATGGTGCCCATTTGTGCCCAGTCAGTGCCACCTACTCATATCTGGTGTCACAATAGCTTGCATTTAAAAACAAAAACTTTTTCACTGTTACAGATTGAATAGCAGTTGTGTTGTCTGCCACTGCTGCCAGCGCTTCTGGTGTCAGGCTCGCTATGGATACGGTGCCCATTTGTTCCAGTCAGTGCCACCACTCACTCATGTCTGTGTCACAATAGTTGCATTTAAAACAAAACTTTTTCACTGTTATAGATTGAATAGCAGTCAGTGTCCATAAAGCGGGTGTGTTAAGCTCACAGTGGATACGATGCCCAGTGCCACCCCTCACTGGTGTCACAATAGCTTGCATTTAAAAACAAAAAACTTTTTTCACTGTTATAGATTGAATAGCAGTCAGTGTCCTTAAAGCGGGTGTGTTAAGCTCACAGTGGATATGGTGCCAAGTGCCACCACTCACTGATATCTGGTGTCACAATAGCTTGCATTTAAAAACAAAAAACTTTTTTCACTGTTATAGATTGAATAGCAGTCAGTGTCCTTAAAGCGGGTGTGTCAGGCTCACAGTGGATACGATGCCCAGTGCCACCACTCACTCATATCTGGTGTCACAATAGGTTGCATTTAAGAACAAAAAACTTTTTTCACTGTTATAGATTGAATAGCAGTTAGTTGTCTGCCACTGCTGCCAGCTTCTGTGTCAGGCTCACAGTGGATACGGTGCCCATTTGCCCAGTCAGTGGCACCATTCATATCTGGTGTCACAATAGCTTGCATTTAAAACAAAAACTTTTTTCACTGTTATAGATTGAATAGCAGCTGCGTCCTTAAAGCTGGGTGTTGGCTCACAGTGATATACGTGCCCAGTGCCACCACTCATATCTGGTGTCACAATAGCTTGCATTTAAAAACAAAAAACTTTTTTCACTATTATAGATTGAATAGCAGTCAGTGTCCTTAAAGTGGGTGTGTAAAGCTCACAGTGCCCAGTGCCACCACTCACTCATATCTGGTGTCACAATAGCTTGCATTTAAAAACAAAAAACTTTTTTCACTGTTATAGATTGAATAGCAGTCAGTGTCCTTAAAGCGGGTGTGTTAAGCTCACAGTGGATTCGGTGCCCAGTGCCACCACTCACTCATATCTAAAGTCACAATAGCTTGTATTTAAACAAAAAACTTTTTTTCACTGTTATAGATTGAATAGCAGTCAGTAACCTTAAAGCTGGTGTGTTAAGACCCCAGTGGATAATGTGCCCATTTAGCCCAGTCAGTGCCACCACTACCTACATATCTGGTGTCACAATAGCTTGTATTTAAAACAAAAAAACTTTTTTCACTTCGTTATTATAGATTGAATAGCAGTCAGTGTCCTTAAAGCGGGTGTGTCAGGCTCACAGTGGATACTGTGCCCATTTGCCCAGTTAGTGCCACCACTCATATCTGGTGTCACAATAGCTTGCATTTAAAAACAAAAAACTTTTTTCACTGTTATAGATTGAATAGCAGTCAGTGTCCTTAAAGCGGGTGTGTCAGGCTCACAGTGGATACGGTGCCCATTTGCCCAGTCAGTGCCACCACTCACTCATATCTGGTGTCACAATAGCTTGCATTTAAAAACAAAAAACTTTTTTCACTGTTATAGATTGAATCGCAGTCAGTGTCCTTAAAGCAGGTGTGTTAAGCTCACAGTGGATACGGTGCCCATTTGCCCAGTCAGTGCCACGACTCATATCTGGTGTCACAATAGCTTGCATTTAAAAACAAAAAACTTTTTTCACTGTTATAGATTGAATAGCAGTCGGTGTCCTTAAAGCGGGTGTGTTAAGCTCACAGTGGATACGGTGCCCA